GGGCAGGGTCGGGAGGGGCGGTGAGGGGGCTGCGAGGTGGTGCCTCCCCTTGGGGCGTCCTCTGCGCTGCTGCAGCTCTGCGCGGTCTGTTGCCAGGGCCTGTCCTTTCAGTTACGCACAAGGTGTTTAATCGCCTGCTTTGCCAACTTATTACCCCGTTTTTCCATTCTTCACCCTTGCTTGCCTTCATTGATCTCAGGGATAACATTGATGAAAACGTAACTTTTCAGAAAGGCAGCAAAAATGCTCGTGCCGAAAGCTTTCTGATGGGAGCACTCGGTCTTGTAGATGAAGCGACTGAGATCTTCGTGAGTTGAGCTGTGTAGTCCAGTTGCACGGTGCTCCATTAAGACCAAATCTGAAGGATAGAGAAATGGAGTAATGGCCTGGAGGTGAGCACTTGCTGCCATTGGTGATGTGGCCCAGTTCAGCAGACAGTGAACTGATTTTATCTGTAAGAATTGATGCAGTAGATGGGGGATGTGAGCAGAGACTTAAGAAGTATGCGTGATTTAAATTACGCAAGGACAGTATGTATGATATGAAGGATAGAGAGGAAGGAGCAGGATCATCAGGACTGTCAAACGGACGCGATGCTGGCTTTTTGGAAGGGATAGCATCTCCTCCAGCTGGCAATGCATGTAATAAAAATTTAAATTGTCCAGTGCTCCAGCAGTCAGTAAATAGTATGCTGAGTGGTCTCACAGTAAATTCAACTTTTAGCATAACTGGTAAGTTTCGAAGTTTGGTATTGAAAAAAATTGAATTTAGAGCATAATCCCAACTTCTGGAATGTATATAAATATAATTTACCTACTCATATGTTAACTAGGGGAGTTAACAGTGTAACTGTGTTACAAAAGCCATTTCTAGGTACTGTGTAGATGCAGTTGCTAAGTGTCCTTGTAAAGATACTTACCCCATGATATAGGTAAGCAAAAGTTAATCATGTAAAAATTAAGCTAGAAACCATAAGCAAAACAATGACCTTGTTGTCTAACTGAAAACAAATCTCTTTGTTTCAGATTTTCTCCCCTTTGTATGTGATGGCTGTTCAGGTGTCTTTTGGTAAGTTCATAGAGTCAGAGAGTACCTCAAGTTGGAAGGGACCCATAAGGATCATCAAGTCCAACTCTCTGCTCCTCACAGGACTACCTAAAACTAAACTGTATGACTAAGCGTCATCCAGACGCCCCTTGAACTCTGACAGGCTTGGTGCTGTGACCACTTCCCTAGGGACCCTGTTTCAGTGACCGACCATCCTCTCAGTGAAGAACCTTTTCCTAATGTCCAGTCTGAACTTCCCCTGACGCAGCTTCATTCCATTTCCTCGTGTCCTATCGCTGGTCACCAGAGAGAGGAGATCAGCACCTCCCCCTGCGCTGCCCTCCGTGAGGAAGTTGTAGGCTGCCATGAGGTCACCACCCCTCAGCCTTCTCTTCTCCAAGCTGAACAAACCAAGTGACCTCAGCTGCTCCAGATAAGTCTGGCCCTCGAGGCCTTTCGTCATCTTGGTCGCCCTCCTCTGGACACACTCTAATAGTTTGATGTCCTCCTTATATTGAGGCGCCCAAAACTGCACACCGTACTTGACATGGGGCCACACCAGTGCAGTGCAAAGTGGGACAATCATCTCCCTCGACTGGCTAGCTATGCTGTGCTTGGTGCACCCCAGGACATGGTTGGCACTTTCAGCTGCCAGGGCACACTGTTGACTCATATTCAACTTGCCATCAACCCAAACCCCCAGATCTCTTTCTGCGGGGCTGCTCTCCAGCCTCTCATGCCCTAGTTTGTATAACCAGGATTACCCCGTCCCAGGTGGAGAATCGGCACTTGCTCTTGTTAAATTTCATACGGTTGGCGGTTGG